AATTGGCTGACCTTATCAGGCACAACATCTCCTTGCTGAGCAAATTGGCATAGGTCTTCTCTCTTAACTGGCACAGTAATCACAAATGCAATCAAAACATGCCACAAGACATTTGTTCTGGTCTTTTAGGACTTGGAGTGTTGCCATGCACCAATATAAAAAATGAGATGAAAATGCTGAACTTCACTGGGCATAGCACATCTCCACAGATACAACTGAATGCATCAATACATTAACCTAGAAATGGAGGGAGGGAGGGAGGGAGTAGGTGTATCTGCTTTCCCCCCTCCAAAACCACCATTTTCTGCTTTTGGCCGCTTTGTCTGGCCAAACTAAATTGTGGATTCCCTAATGGGTTTTGTAGATATCTGCTCATCACCACTGGTGAATGGGGTGGGTGGGGGTGGGGGAGACTTTACCTTTCACATTTGTCTTCTTCGCTTCATCTTCTTGCCAACAACACATAGCAAAGGTCTAATAATCTTTTTATCTCTTAATAGAATGCTTCCTCAGAATGAGGGATTACTCTGCAGCATATGGCTCTTGAGGAACATGTGCTCCGTGCCTATACATTTCGATAGGAGCTTTAAAAAAAAAAAAAAAAACCCAACTATTTTTGCAGTCATATTTTTGCTGAAGTTTTGCTAAGAAGATATAGGACCCTAATATAGCCTTGAACTACTCTGGGCACCTTCTAAAAATATCTGCAAAATGAGGCTCATTTATAAAACCATCCTGTCCAATCTGACTCCTGTACTGTGAGCAAGCTTGACTCATACCTTTTTATAGGTATCAGGGTATATTATGGAAAGCACTTTGTCTGTCACATAAAAAGGCCTCCTTGACTGATGGGGCAGCTCTCCCAGCAGTTCCCAGAGTGGCCAAGGCAGGGCAGTAGTGACATCTCAGACTGACATATTTCAGGACATCAGCTCAATATATTTCTGAGGTGAGGAGTTACCACAAGGTAACTATTAATTATTGGTACAGTATAAAATGACCCTCTGTAAGAACATTGTTATAATGAAACTTTTGCATTTTGCAAGAAAATTCACCGAACCAGCAGAACACTTTGCTAGTGGAAACAAGAGCTTTGGCCCATACAGAGGTAGGTATGGAAGTCATTATGGATAACTGAACAAAGGTAGGAGCACCTGGGGGCACACAACTCAGCTAAAGTGATATTACAATTTGCAAGAAACTTAACGCAACTTATTAAATACTAAGAGTAAGGCTCGTTGTGGAAAGAAATACAATGAGCTCTAGAAGGAAGCTCCAGGTGAGTGTCCCAGCTGTGGCTGGTGGGGCGGTGGAGGGAAGGGGAAAATAGAGGGAGGTAAGCCATGTTTATTTCCTTCTGCTTAGCTATAACGCAGGGCTGTCTCAAGTAATTTTGCTGCCCCAAGTGGGTAGTATGGGTTTTCTGGGTTTTCAAGAGTCTGGAAAGCGGTTCTGTAGCCATATAGGGTTGCCAACTCTTGGTTGGGAAATACCTGTAGATTTGAGGGGTAGAGGCTGGGGAGGGCAGGGTTTGGGGTGGAGAGGGACCTCAGCAGGGTATAATGCCCTAAAGTCCACTGCCCAAAGCTGCTATTTTCTCCAGGAGAATTGGTCTGGGAGATCTCCAGGTGCCACCTGGAGGTTGACAATACTAAGGGGAGGGCCAGGTTTGTTGAAGGACTTCAGTGAGGTATAATGCCATAGAGCTCACCCTCCAAAGCAACCATTTTCTCCACGTGGACTGATCTCTGTAGTCTGGAGATCAATTCTAATTCAGAGAGATATCCAGGCCTTCCCTTCCTCCCACCCCTTTCAATTCCAAAGCTGCTTCCCATTTAACACTTTGATAAACAGTTTAACTGACTCCCTGCTAATGCCCCACAGCCTCTTGGGACTCCCAACTTGGGAGTTGCAGTTCTAATTCCCTTTGCTATGGTTGTAGTAAGGCCAGCTGAGAACTACAGCTCCCAAGGTGCAACTCGTCAAAAGTGGGGGTGTAAGAATGGAGGAGCCAGTGAGATGGGTCAATATGACACCAAGGCAGCTTCCCCAGCGGCCAATAGGAGAGTAGGTGAGTCACTAGAATGGCTTGCCATATACAACATAATGGAGGAATGTCCTTACCAAATATCAAATGTGTATACAAGGAAAACTGGAGAATATGCATTGTAACAATTTCTCAAGAGGATGAAAGTGACAACAACATAAAGGCAACAAAATGGAAATTTGGGGATCGGACCATTCTGATTTCCTTCCCAGAGACTTCACTAATGAGCCAGCCTGTACTGCAAAAACTGTCATGGATATTCTTTTCTGAAACTCTAGGGATGTTCTGAGCACCCTTCTTCTTCTTCTTTGGTCTTTAAGCCTCCATGATAAACACCCCCACTGTCAACTTGTGTGCTGACTTGTCTGCTTAGCACCAATACAGTGTCACTGGTACACTGGCACATTTTGTGAAGTTGTGTTGGAAAGTCTGTGGTGTCTCTTATCCTCCTATTTTCTGAAATAAGACTTCTTAAGATTCAGCTGAAGGGTACTGGGTTGACTTGCACTTTCATCTTCCTTTAGTATAACTTCCAAAATATACTCAATGAGATGTTTTCTACATTTTCTACAATACTAACCAAAATTACAGAAAATAAAACTTTTTCTAACATATTTAGCAGCTACATTTTTCCCCCTCAAAAGAAAGAAAGGCCACATGACATTGGTTTATAGTGGCCTATCTGTGGCGGCCACCATTGAGTGGTGAGGAAGGAGAAGGAGAAGGAAGCCAGTCTGGTCCACCTTCCTCCACAAATTCCCTTGCTCATCACTTGCACAATACAAATTCCTTGTTTCTTGGCTCTTACAGTGTCAGCATGGCTCCTGTATTCAGAGCAAGCAGAAGATTAGACAGTGGGCCACTGGAGACAATCCAGAGAAAAGTACATCAAGTCCTACTGAAATTAATAAAGCTTTAAACACACAAGTTAAATTATGTCTCACTGAGTTCAAGAGATGGAGGAGTGCCTATCTAATGCTCTCTGCATTGTAACCAGTGCCTAGTTTCATTATAATAAAGCCATTTGGGAGCAATTTACTGGCTTTTCAAACTCTTTTCTACATTAGTGTCTGTATGCAGAGGGAAATCAACACGTCTCTCATATTGTAAAAACATGTATACGCTAGTTGATTTTAATTTAATGTTTATTGTAATGATATAACATCTTCCTTATTCAACTTCTATAGAAGTAATAGGACATTCAACAGATGTTATACACATGTTCATGCATTTCAAAACAAACACAACAGACCCTTAAAGATAAATCAAGAACAATGACCAATAGGAAAAGATTGACCTATCTTGATTCTCTTAAGGCTGAATCCATATATCACCATACAAAATCTATCTAAATTTATGGTGACTCCATTTGTATCATAGCCAGCATTCTTCCAACATGAAAACTGCTCCTTAGTATTTGCTATAAAGGAAATCTATAATTATCCTAAATGCTATCAAAGATAACATAGCGGTCTTTAAAATAAACCACATATATACATATAAACTCTATAGAACATGTTGTCTGAACAACACACATGGGGTGACTCCTGTATATTATGCTAATAGGAATACTGCTGTACAGGAAACCAGCACAACTGAGTAACTATTAGGTACATGAAAAAAGTTGACTTCATGGCATCTAAGCAACAATTAAAGTTGATAATTAGATAGACTTCAGGTTTTCTACAACAGTCTTTAATGTAATTCTAAGACTTTCATAATGCAATCCTCAAATTCTGTTGCATAAGTGCAAATTTCAGGCATATTAACACAAGGTTATATTATGAATTGTTTAGAACCTTGGTAGAAACATGGAGCAGACTCAGAAACAATAAGGAGCAAGATGAATCAGTTCTCAAAAGATTTTATTCCAAATAGAGTCAATGGCATTCAGGTCACTTCCTGGTGAAGGTTTAGACAGCCCTAAGTCTTCCAACGCAGGCTCAGATCTTTCCTGTTTGCTGATACAGTTTGTCGGCCTTGATAATATGCAAGTACGACTCCTTTTTGAATGCTTTCTTTTCAGAAATCCAAGAGTTCTCAGGCACCTTAAAGCCTAACAAATTCATTGTGGCAGAAGTTTTCCTAAGCCACTTTGTCAGATATATGATGAAGGCAGATAAAAGTAACAGTTTGTCTGTCTGACAGAGTGGATCCTAGCATACAAAATCCTCAATAAATATGTTAGCCTTTGAGCTGCGATTGAGTTTGCTGCAGCAGATTACCGAGCTAGCCATGTGGAATTTGTGTACGTGTGTGTGTGTGTGTGTGTGTGTATACACCTCTCGTATATGTACACTTCTCATATTCTTCTGTATAATCAGTCTGTAAATAAAGTTGATCAGTTCTGTTGCCTGGTTTTCCCTGCTTAACCACATACCTAAATTGCCCCATATCAATGTTCGCAAGGGGGGGGGCCCTACTAACAAACCTGAACATATAATTCAAGCAGCTAAAGCATATACAAAGTTCACATTGTTAGAAAAAACCAAAAAAGTCCTTATAAACACTGCAATCAGAGTATGCTTTGTGTTTATACTGGGAGAGTCTTTTTTTTTGTTAAACAAACACCAACAACCCAAAGAGCTTATTTTTATGACTAACAGTGCTAAATTGAGGTATTATTGTGTTCTTATGAAGTAACCATTTTGAAGTAAAATGCAGTTTGGTTTTTTCTCTTGTTATGGCAGTTCCCATCAGCAGCCATGTGAAAATTTAAGTCTTGAATGGAGAATGTTGTTTGACAGGTTTCTACTAAGACAGAATTCAGTGGTCCTATTTTCCTCCAGTGTGAGTCCATTGAAAATGCATCTCAAGCCACCGTCAACAGCACGTCCCTGGTTGTTTCATCCTAGAGATTGTTTTATCTATTGCCTGGTCTTGGTTGATGATAACATAGCACCTACTGTACGCATGTCCTACAGGGAAATGCTTACCTATCTCTGCTCACACTTCATGTAAAATATCGGCACTCTGTAGAGTCAATATAGCAATAAGAAGAACATCGTAATTTCCCATAAGACCTGAAAACAGAAGGTGACATGCGCAAGTTGTTAAGTATGAAACATTTTACCAGTACTTATGAGACGTTTACATTTCCTTTGCAAACAACCTGTCCATCTTGCTTAGGAATAATGGTGCCTAATTTACGAGACAATTTTAGTATCTTAGCTTCTAATAGGAGATGGATAGATGGGTTCTGACTGTAACTTTCTGTAAAAAACTAAATAAATTTAGACCCAAGCTATGTGAGACATTGCTCCATGAATTGGATTGAGGAAACCCACATTCCTCATAGCCAGCTGGCAACTGTATGGAACGTATATCCCCAGCACCACAGGACTTGATTTGGATTGTGACCATAGCTGGGAGGGGCTTCATCCTCCCCTCCAAATTGTTTTCTTGACCCACAGTGGCTTCATAGGCTGTGGGAAATATGAGTAGAGAAATGTCTCCTGTAGTTTGGACCTTAGATGAAGAAAAAGATCAAGCGCACTGCACAGATATCTCGGGTAAAAAACTGACAATTCAAAATAAAGCTGAATTCTAATAGGGTTGCCAACCTGCTGTTGGATCCCCAAGCATCGAGAATAAATCCACGTTTCAGAAAAGCAAAATTTATTTCAAAGCTTTGGAAAGATACTCAAACAAGTCCTTTGTTAGGAATGGGTACAATCAGCCAGGGCAAGTATAATAAAGGGATTTGAACCAGGTACCGCACCAATGGATCACTTTCCCGCTGGCGGGTAAAAGGAAACGGTTGCGCGCTCAATCCCTGGGAACACTACTATCTCTAGACATAATACAGGTGCAGTTCCCAGGCTCTAAAGGCAACAAGCTAGCATTCAAGCACACCTCCTACACCACGTCCTCCAGATGTTCGGCTTAGCATTACAGCAAAATAAAATACAGGCTAGCAGG